TGAACTTCCTTAAATCTGGTTTTTCTTGAAGCCAGTAACAGGGAAAGAGTTTTGCATCAGCAACATAGTAGCATTCTTTAGGACTAAACCACATAAAAAGGCTCTGCACAAGAAACGAAATGTTTTCTTTGCCAATTTCAGTATCATGCGCAGTAAAACTGGGTAGACCCGAGAAACATAATGACTTGTTTGATTGGCTTTTCTAGCAAAACGCAGGAAATGCTCTTGGTATAGTAAATTTTTTTCTTGTGAAAATGTTATAGGTACATTTTGAGTGAGGAAAACCCCTCGCCATCACTGAGAGGGCGCCCCCCCCCCCCGGGGCGGTGAGGGGGAAGAGGGGAAGCCTATGAAGCAAGCACCCAGCTGTCCATATTTGACCAACACATCACTTTTGATGCAACAGTGCATCAGCAAAGAAATATGAAATAAGTAAATCTATAATTAACAAGAAATGTAATCCTAAAAGTATTAGGCATATCCAATAACCTGAGCTGGATAAATTTCTCCTCCAGTTAGATACTGGAATGCAGAATAGATGTATAGAAATCCGGCTGGGTAGACCAGAGGCCCAGTATCACCTTTTAGGTTCTTGTAATCTCTTTCCCCTCCAAGAAACCCAGTAACCTGTTTCATGAGCAACATTGGACTAAAAATTGATAATACAGATCCGGTAAACTCGGTAATCAAATTAAAACGTCTGGAGATAGCCCGCAAATGTTAGGGACTCAGGGCAAGAAATTGAAAATTTTAGGCCTACATTGTCCCTTAAAAAGAACTGAACAAATTTAAGTCAATCGAGAACTCAATAAAAACATAGTCATGCTATTTAAAATCCATCTGGATGGCGTATTGACCGCCTAGTTTCATCTATAGGGATATAGACAGACACAGACACAGACAAGCCCAAAAAAGATCTTTTTCATGTGTTTGGCCAATAGCCCAAAAAGATGCTTACCTGTGACATGTAAGCGTCCCAATCTATCTTTGTATCTGCAATGAAGGATATAGACAAACACCAGCTGTCAAATTGGTACCAAAACCCCCTTCCCAAAGAGGTCCGGATGCATGAGAAAAATGGACAGAATGTTGAATGGATGTGGATTCTCTGCAGTTGGCTAAATGACTGTAGCATGTGTAGTTACTAAAATTAAGCCATTACAATCATTCGTTTGGGGATTATATGCCATGTCTATTTTTTGGTTGAAGAGAATCATACCTCAAATTAAACTCATGCTTTGAATTGGTTCACTGATATATTCTGAGGGGATATTTACAATGACTATTTTGAATATGAAAGCTCAAATAATGCACTTTACGGTTTCTTCATAATTAAAAGTGTCTAACATGGCATGCGATTTCCCATTAGATCAGTTAAATGGCTTTTTATTGACTGCACAGCCCACATTCATTTAGCTGACAGTAGAAAATCCACATCCGTGTTGAACTTACATGGGACAAATGAGATGATGAGGAAGGCAAGGATGGCATCCGCAAAGACCAGAGCAACAGCAAAGGGTACCTTAGGATTTTCCATAAACTTGTGGCTTAAAGTCTTCAATCTGGGGGGAGGAGACGATCGAGTCACTGCTTGGACACCCATGGTTTCTCTGCCTCTGAATCGGGGGCCGTCGTCCATTAGGCAAGCTGAAAGACCTCGAAGCGAAGTCTCGACTCTCGAGCGACTCACACAGCAAACGGCCTTTTGTTTTTCCTTTTTTGGATCTTGAAGCAAGCATCTTGGGCCCAATATGCCGCTTTTGGACTCTAGAGGTAGAGGCTGGCTCCCCGAAACAGATGCACAGCCTATTTAGTATTTACATTTACATTTTTTTTGGGGTTAAAGATATGTATTTTCTTATTAAAGTCGCGCAGAAAGCTTATCTTTTTAGAATTATTTTTACTTGAATAAAATGAATACAACGTAATATAATTTATATTTCAAATGGCATCAGCTCACAATATAATCAAGAAACATAAACTAAATTTATAATAACCTTCACTTCATACACAACTTTGGTTGTGGTCTTCTTACTTTCATTTTCACTTTCAATAGCAACCATTTTAAAACAACCCATACATTCTGCATAATGCAACATATAATTGATTATGTGTGAAAAGGGACTTTGACAAATACGACATGAGGTGATGTGTTCTCCATACATCAATATAACTAATAAATTTCTTCCACTTAAGCTAGTTTCAAATTATGGCTTCATGTTAGCCCTAGACACAAATCACTATTCATAAGAAAAATATGGCTTGATGGACAAATAAAAAAAATTGCATCAATTTGTTTTAGCCAAGTTTTGCACTAATGAAACTTGGGGTTTTGTGTGAGCTGTTGCACTTTCTCCCAAACAAATTTTAAATTTTAAAATCTCCTGCCATTTACTTTTTTTTTTAATCTTTAGTAATTACTTCCTATCACATCCTATGCTTTCTATCTCTCCTATTATCATTCTCTTCCTCATATCCCAAGGTTAGTTCTCAGCTCCTTCATTGAAGTCTCCTTCGTGCTTGTTTGGCAGGGAGTTTGTGGAGTTTAAAAGTAGCTTATTGGTGCCATAAGCTCAATCTGCAATTTTGACATGTTTGGCATGGCTTATGGGTCATCCTGTTTATAACTGAAAAGTAAGATTAAATCGCACGATTAGAGAAGCTGTTGTGAGTAGCTTATTTTTTATTTTCATCGTGCTTGTGGGAGTCTCCTTCATTTTATTCTCTCTCTTTTTCTCATATATGAAAGCAACTCATTTATCCTCCCATCGACAAAAGGCAAAGCATCGCAACCTCCGCCGTGACCTCTGTCACCTCGTCACCGTGAATGCGTCTACTGCTTATGTCATCATGCTTTCTCAACTCCTTTTCTCAGAAGCAACAATATTAGAAAACGAAGGGTCAAATGTAGTGGTACTGGTGGGCTACAGAGCTTTCATTTAGAAAAAGGGTGGAAGCTTTCATCCACAAAAGACGCAGAATAAGAGATTAGAAAGGAGAAGGAGAAAGAGAAAGTAAGGTGGGTTGGGTTGGGTTGGGTTGGGGTGGGGTGGGGTGGGGTGGCGTGGGGTGGCGTGGGCCTTTTGCTTTTGGACGCTAAATAGCATAAAAAATGAATTTACATAAAAAGCAAACTTATCTGTTACAATAATTATAAACATTCTGGTTTTGAAATGATTTAAATTTATTATATAATGTAAATTTATTTTTTTATTATGTCTCATTATTTATTAAAACTCATACCTATTTTGATAATTTTACAAACAAACTTATTTTTATTCAATCATAATCTAAATAACTTTTTACCAATTTTACTTTTACAAACTAACTTTTCTGAACTTTAATACAAATACAATTCAACTTATCCAATTTAGCTTTTATCCAATTTCGCTTTTTCATAAGCTAAATTGACAATAAGCTACTTTTTCAATCTCTAATCCTAACGGTCCCTTCCTCACAGCCTCCAACCATTAAGGATTTGTTTTAAGTTCTATTGAAAATAGAATTTTAAATAAATTCACATAAGTTGAGACAAAACTTTCATTATATACTTACTTCGTATGTTGTAAATCATATTTGAAAAGCTACTTATAAGTCAATCCAAACAAGTCCAATATTTCTTCCTCCCCCCCCCTCTCTCTCTCTTTGTGAGATCTTCATTAGTTTCTTCTTTAATCTTCATCTTCATTGATAAGGAGCTAAACATTGAAGATGATCGGGAAATTTGGTGAGCATGACGATGGCGGAGAGGCTCTGACGCGAATGGTTATCATGTTGCGGAGGCAGAGACGACATGTTCATGGTGTGGGCTGCTCAATTTGACTTGAGGCAAGGTTGCGATAGCAGGGAGTTGTTGCCTTTGTCGATCAAGAGAAGAACTAGCAATTAGCGTTTTCAAGAGTGAATGCGATGGTGGAGAGGGAACAGCGAGGATATGATGGATGAAATGAACTTGCTGGTGCTTTTCTTATGGTCCTTTGATGATTTCCCCCCCTAATTTTTATATTATGATCAGATTAGTAATGTGACAAGGTTAACATCTCTATTCTCTTTGTAAGATGAATGGGAGCGAAGGATTATGATAGGCGATGGATGCAGGTACCAAATCATCCTCTTCATTTTCACCACCTAGGAAGTTTTATATTTGTGAAATGAAATGGCATGTTGAACTCCATTCATCTAACCTTTGTAGGATTGTGGAGGAGTCCGCAGTAGTGAAATGAAATGGTGCAAAAGCTGCGTTTAAGAAGTGGAAGTTCGAAGAGCTCTGCACAAAAGGACGAGGCGTTGAAGCAGAAGGAAGGAGGAGAACGAGCATACCCACAATAGTTGGCTTTTCTTCTCCTATTGTTTTAGGTTCTGTCGTCACTGGGGGAATTTTTCTTTAAACTGATATAATTTAATTTCTTTTGACATAATTTCACACAAAACCAACAATGAAAGATCATTGTTTAATTGCTGAAATGTTTTGTACCACATTAATCTTAGATTTAATTGATATCTTAAGTTTAAATGGACGTATTATGTATTATTGGATTAATTGATTGATTTTAGAATTTTTCATAGAAATTGGTACTTTGGACTGAAAAAATAATATTTTGTGATCTTAATTGGTTTGAAGTTAATATTTCTCATTTCTTTAAAGTCAATTCTCATATTTTGAAAATTTGATTTTTACAAAGTTGTTCAACTTGCCTATTTCTAATCCACAGCGTGTGGTGTAGGTTATGTTTGATCTAGTACACATGTGCTTTAGTTTACTTATTTTAATGAATTTTTCGTTTATTTGATAGCTTGATCTACTACGTATCCTTCCAATGATTTCTCTTAACATAAAATAAAGAGGTTTATAAATTTTGTTTTTTTTTGAATAAATATTGCATCCACAAGTTTGTTTATCAAATAATTGCTTCCCAAAATTTTCCAGACTACCTAATTTTATGTGCATGTATCATTTGTCATTGTAGCAGGCAATGCACCTTTTGATTAGCATGAGTTGCCTACACATGAATACGTTCATTGATTGATTTTTCTAGAGACTCCAGAATCCTAGCAGCACGAGCTTTAGCATCATCAATGCTAGTAGCACCCGCCATTTCTCTCACAAAAAGGTCAACCCACTCTGCTCCATTGGCAGGAAGGTTGTTCAAAGCTGTCTTACTCTCAGCAGCAGAAGCATCAAAATCATCTTTCACTTTAACCTGCAAGTTCTTCAAAAGTTACGAATGCCTCATCAATTAGAGATACTAAATGTCATTTTAAAAACAAAATGGGAGCATATGGTCATAGCAAGGAAGCAGGAAGAAATAACATCATATTCGAAACTCTTGATAAGATGCGTTTTAGGCAACCTTCTCAGTTAGCTTTAGGCATCTTCTTTTGATCCTCCTTAGCATTTTCAACCGGGGAAAACAGGTGTAATCGTTGATAAGATGCGTTTCTACATCTGCATATTTTGTTGCGAGTTGTGGATCCACAATGATCTTTAGGGGGTGTTTGGCAAAACGAGACAAATTTCTTCACATATTTATTTCGTAAACCGTAAAATTACTTTTAAAACCATGGTTTGGTTTCTATTTAAACACTCCTTTAATGCTAGATGACTTTTAGTTTTAGAAAGTTATAAAAGGCATTATTCAATAGTATTTTGTTATGGGTTTATAGTTGAATATGACATTCTGGGTTTCATGATACCCAAAGCCCCATTTATTTTGAATCTTGCTTGCAGTTAACTTAGAAAAGCTCTTTTAACTATGATACACATATTTAAGGATTGATTTAACTCTTTTCTATTATGATTAATTTTTCTTGTGATTTAAGTTGATTATATAACCATGACAGCATTTTTAAACGTTTTACAAAGTGTGTTTTCTACCATGGTTAACTTTTTAATATTAATAAATTCAAAGGATTAGAAGTTCCATTGTCACGTCTTGCGCTTCAAATTGCACAAAAGCTTCAACAAAATGTACTGATCATCTCACTCTACGAATTCAGAACCAGATGAACCAATTTAGATTAGCTGTCAAGGAAACTTGGCTTAGTAGAACAAGCAACAATTAAGTTCATGGGGCTTGGAAAATCCATATTGCTTCTCCACCAACATCTCTTGCTTAAAATCCCTATTCATAACAGAGGACGGGACGGGATGAGCTACAGGGCTGTCCCCTCCCAATCCCATTAGTATTATGTTTTTTCTTTTTTATTTTATATCATATCGTGAGTTAAAGTGAGGCTATGAGTAGTGCTGATGATGAACGTTATTATTATTTTTATTTGATATATTGATTTCCAATTTGTGGGTCAAAAAATATTGATATATAATTTTTTGTCCAGCAACTCTGAATAATGTTGTGCGCTTCTGTTTTTCATAAATTAAAAAAAAAAGATTGCAATACTTTTCTATTGGTCTCGAATGTTGTGGACGGTTATGCCCAAATAATTGAGCACAAAAACAAAAAAGTCCCATTGGAATAGGCCCAAAAACATAACAGTAAAAATGGCAAAAAAATTTATTTAAATCAAACGTGACATGAGAAATGACTTTAAAGAAATAGTTAATCTAGTTTAGTAGATTAAGTAGATTAGATATCCACAAAAAATTAGGCAAGTTGAAAAACTTTCTAAAAGTATGAGAATTGACTTTATAGAAATAGGAAATATTAATTTCAAGTCAAAAATAAGAAATCACCACAATTCATATTTTCAATCCAAATTTGAATTTCTATGAAAAATTCTAAAATCAATCAATTAATCCAATAATACATAAAACATCCATTTAAGCCTAATATATCATTTAAATCCAAGATTAATGTGTGACAAAATATATAAAAATTAAGTTTTATCAATTTTCTCACACTTAACCTTTGCACTCATAGAGAAAACAATTATGTTTGTCAAACAGTCTAGTTTTAATTTTTTAATATTAGAATTTTATTCAATCCCTTTTTGATAGACCATTCCTTTTGGTTAGGACATTTTATTATATAAACCAAAGCACATACGCAGTAGATCAGCGCAAAGTAAGCTAATGCATGGGCACTAGATTTTTATTTTAATTTTTTAAATAATTATTTTAATATTTATAAAATCTAAAGTAAATATGATCTCTTAAGTATTATTTTTTAATTATGAGGCATTCAAAAAACAAAACTAAAGGAAAAAAGGAATATGAGGCATTATTTATAATTAGTCATAATTTAGATTGATTGTTTTACTATCTATTTATGTCCAAATAAAATATAAAATAATTTTATCAACCTCTATGATTATGACGATCCTAATTAGGAAAGACCTAATGCATTAGAAAAATGGGCTATTCCCCTACTTTTTAAGGCCCATGGGCTAAATGATTCTTATATAAAATATAGTTATGCCTAATGATATTATTACTGGTCTTTGGATTTAGAAGATGTTTGAATGGAAACTAAAATATAATTTTAAAAATAATTTTACAAATTTGTTCTGATTTAGGAAAAAGTATTTTTAAAAGCATTTTTTGACAAGTCCAGACGCCTTTTAAGTGAAAGAGTTTTTGACCCTTTCAGTACTGGTTCTTGGGGGATCGACTCCCAATTGGACTTGGCAATGCAGTTATCTGATCCAGTCAAATAAACATATCAGAAAATGTCTAGTAAATCATATCAATCTGCAGAGAAAGTCCCAAAGTTTGGGATAAATAAAAATAAAAATACTAAGAGTAAAATATTTAATGATGACACATAATATAGGAGGAGACTAGTAAGTTGGAAGACGACAGAATATTTGATGAACCTTCAACTCTGCTTTAGCATAGCCAACACAGTCATCTTTTCCATCAGGAAGGAGATATGGCGGCTGAAGTGCAACTATTCGACGTACAGGCGTCAAAGCCGGTGGACACCCAGACATTACTATTGCAGCCGTGGCTGTTGCAGCTTCAGTCCCTTGTTTATTTACTTGGATGAATGTCTTTTGAATTATGTTAAAAACATATAACTCTCCACCATCACATGAAGTTCCCATCTCTGTCAACTTTCCTCCAGAGAATGGCAGTCTTATCCCTAGTCCCCTCAGCACCTTGGAAGTTTTCACCTCAGAAGACATATTAAATTCTGGGGTCAGTACGCCATTAACTTCCATTAGATCTACCTCAGGTTCATGATAAAATTCATATTTAAATGAATGCGGATAATAGAAATGCATAGAGAAAGCACGCTTTTCTTCACGTCGCTTTTTATATGTGCGTCCAAGCTTATGCATTCTACCTAAAATGCCATTGCTATCAATTACTCCCATCTTGGCAGCAATGAAGGGAGCACTCACTTTGTATTCGTTCTCACCACACTGTTTTCTTAGTATGATTGGATTTGTTTTCTCTCTCTCTTTGTTGCCATATGCATTTGCTTTCTCATGCCATGCTCCTCTGAAGTATAGGGCATTTGTAAAGACGAGCTTGACTAAGTTGTTGAGAGACCCCTCACGAATAAGGTCTTTAACTAGGACACTTGCCTCATTTTCCACCCACGAATTAATTTGTTGCCCCGCATGAGCAGCCTGCACAAGTTATATATAGCCATTTCATAAAGCCCCTCATCAAGACAACAAGTTGTTGTTCTTGATTCCCTTAATTAATTTCCTTGCACAAAATTGAAATCGTTGTATTCTCTCAAACTCAACGACTTTGCATTTAAAATTTACAAAGGCGAAGAAGAAAATAATCGGGTTGTGTGTGTATATACATATCATGCATCAATTAATATAACAATTAATGAGATGAATTTTAGGAGGCAAAAAAAAAAGAGGGGATAAGTTCAAACTCAAAAGCAACATGCTTTCACTTTTGAAGTTCCGGCATGCCTTCTGGAGTCTTCATCTTTAAAACATCATTATAAGAGAGAAAGAGGGTATGGCACGCATTTGACAATATAATGTAATGAGCAATATAAAATTTAAAGGTTAAAATATATATTTGGTTCTTTAATTTTATATGAGGTTTCAATTTAGTTCTTTAATTTTAAAAAGTATTCTTTTAGTCTTCAAACTTAAAATTTTTTGAAAAATAACGACATTGAGATATTAAATGTTGAAAAAATATTCTCATATGCTAACATATTAAGTTTAATTCTCAAAATATCTGTAATTGTCACAAAAATTATCATTAAAGCCTACGGATTTTAGGGTTAAATGACCAAATATTTTTTTTTTCAAAGTTAAGGGATCAAATTGAAATTTTGTATAAAGTTAAAGGACCAAATATATTCTTTAGTCAAATTTAAATTACATTTAATTAAAGATATTTTGGGACGGAACATTACCTCGGGCTGAAAGTTCACCGGGTTCACAGCGACTCCATAATCAGAGTCCATAATGTGTTTAAAATAGGGCTTGAGAGTAAGGGACTGATCAAGCCATAAGGCATTGGAGCAACGCACACAAGGGCCAACGGCGGGATCACCATCAGCCAAGATGACGTTGGAGGGTTTAGAGGCCAGGGAATTGAGATGATCGACGGAATCGGCGTTGAAGAAGTTGACAATCTGACGGCGGGTCCAACCGCGGGAGCCGGTGGCAAGGAGGCTGAGCACCACTTGTAAAGACAAAGGTGAAACCACCCTGCATTCATCTATTTTTTGGTGAAACCAACATGCATTCATCTAATTTTACATCCATAAGTAGATGGTTTCCCAACAACTCGGATCTGTCGAATACGTCAGGAGCTCTCTCATTTTCCCGATCTGCTCTTCTGCTGCTGCCGTAAGAAGCCGTTTGGTTGAAGAAGAAGGAAAGGACACACCTTTCAAGCCATGGAGAGACGGAGAGCCGGTCCCTGGAACGAAGCAGTCTGAGCTGCATGACGGAGATCAGAACACTTCGACTTCAACCCTAGACTCCACTGTTCCTAGGATATGTACTTTATGTAAAACTCCGCTCAAATGAGAATCTTGTGGATATCTATGATTTTATTAAAAAAAAAACTTACTTTTTTTATGATAAAAGTTAGTGAAATTAGGTAAAAAAAAAAACTCTTCAATTTCATGTGAAAATCATATATTAATTATTTTAAAATTTAATAGGTATTTTAATTTGTTGTGATTTTTTTAAAAAAAGTTTGCTTTGATCATTGTACAAACTGCAAATTTCAAACTGATTTGTATTTGGGAGAATTATAATCAAGTCCCAAGAAAAGAAAATAATAACTAAAAAATGCTAATAAAAACTTAAGCAACCTATAGTGACAAGTTTCAAACTAGAAAATGATAACTTCTGTGACTTATTTTATAATTATTTTCTTTTTTTGAGATATTCTATCATCATCAGTTGGTTTTTTCTTGACTGTCTATCTTACCTTTGTTCAATTGCTTCTAATTACTTTTTTCACCTTGCCATTTTGCTTCTTATCAGATATGCTTGGTTTGATTGCAATAGTGATTTCCATGTGGCTTGAGACATAGAAATTGATTGCTTTTTCCTTGGCTTTTTTGTCAAAATAAGGTTCATGCCACCATTGTGTTGATGATTGAATATCATCAAGACCAGAGGTAATAATAATTTTGGCTAATGTGGTCCTTAATTTCGCTGGTTAAAGCAGTATTAATGTCAAAATATGAGATTAGTTCAAGGTGTAAAAGCGCTCCCTTAGGGTATGTATGAGGGAAATGAAGGGAAAGGGAGGGGAGGGAAAATTTTGATAAGCTTGTTTTAAAAAATTAAAGAAGTTGGGTTATAAAATTTTGATAAGTAGAACATGTAATATAAAAGAATAATTAAAATAAATCAAAAAATTTTAACCCCACTTCTTTATATTTTTAAAACGAGCGCATCAAAAATTTTCCTCTCTTCCCTTTCCCTCCATTTTCCTCATACCAAATGGTCCCTTAAAATCGTCTATGCCAAGAAATGTGAACAAATGAGTGAAAATATCTAATATAATTTTACTGTTTAGCATGATGTCTTGCATTATAATTTCTGGACTATAATACATGTGTACTGACCTTATATAATTGTGACACATCGCAGAGCAAATCATTGAATAGCTTATATATCGCTTTTTAACTAAGCTTTGCTACATAAGTGAAGCAGATGTCCTCATACGCCGAGATGGGAAATATAGCTGAACCTAAAGGCATGGCTGCAGGACCTATGCAGTGATTATTTAATCATATTGAACGACTTATATGTCGCTCAATTGTTCGTGCCAAAAAAGTTCCCATTCTAGATAGCTTCAAGGATTGGTCCACATCCTACAAAGCTGTTCAATGGCATAGAATATACTTTGACACTAGAATCTTAAGTTTTTGGCTATCCATGGCCTTCATAATGTTGGTCCGGATTTGTTTATTGTACTTCAAACATTTTTCTCAATGGCAACAGCTTCTAAAATCATTCTTTTAAGGCCACATAAATGTTTCTTTGTCTGCATTATTATTTGTCTGTTTCTTTCTTTGTTTTGTTTTTTAATACAGAGGCAAGCTCAGAAACTTGGAAAATCAAACACGATTAGAACATCCTCCTGCCATAGTCGACCGCCCCAAATCCATTTTCAGCTGATGTAAACATCCGATAGGTGGATATTTGTCTATTGCTTTAAAGTGCAGTATCCTTAAATGTGGGGCCTTTAGTCACAGTAAACCAACTGTGAAGGTCAAAGGGGTGGGGGAGCATTGAATAACACTTATGCCTTACTTATTATGCAAGTTTTTCTGGAAATTCGAAGCTGTAGGTGCGGAAGTATTTTACCTCGAGAGAATAGTTTGCAATTCTTCGACCCATGTGAATGACCAAACCATTAGCAAAAATATAGAACTTCTATTTTAGGAACGGGAGACGAATATGCATATCTCAACACAAGACTACTGGAACTAATGGTTTTTAAATAGTGAAAAGCATTGTAGCGGAAATCCTTTAATGTGTTCTAAGTGAAAAAATCCTGAACGAGAAAGAGATAGCCTTTCATAAAGCCATGGAGGAAACCATGGCAACTGGTAAGGATACTTCAGAGATAAGAAGCAGCTGTTGAGTATCTCATCAGGTAGGTTAACCTTAGAACTGAGTGGAATAGAGTAGGGGCTTTGATATTAATTCAGGACCAAGTTCAACAACTAGAATCATCTAAGCTTTTTTAAGAAATTAATGAGAGACAAACGGTCCTAAAAATCAATGTCAAGTAAGGTTTGCAGTGTTTGACTGTATTGAATAAAAAATTAAGAGCTTCTTTGTCTATCATATCGCAACCGAGAGCGATCCTTAAGGTTGCAGAGGCAAATCTCAAACTGCAAGCTGAGAAAGTATAAACATGATCAAGGAGATGTCTTAGTTTCATATATATGCTTCCATGTAGTATAGTCCAGAAAAAGTTGGAACACGGGACGTGCTTCTGGGATGAAAAATGGTTTCACAAAAATTATTTTGACCACTATTTAAAAAAAAAAATTTACTCCGAAAAAATATAATGCAAAGAGCCATTGGGCTGAATATATCTAGAAATTCTAAAAAGGGTTATTTATTCTAGATGCTGGTGTCATCGACTTCTTCGGGTTGGTGTGCATTTAATGTAATTCCATATACTATATTATTGCAACAGAATATGACCTATTTTCTAGATAAAAGCATTCTTAAAGTAAAAATATTTGTCTTTGAAATAGAGTAAACTTCTTATCTAATCATGCTATAAATGTTGTAAATTTAAATTAAACATCCGATCTCTTCCTTTAGTCAATATGAAAGCGTAACTATTGCAAGAAGGAATTGGGGGTCGTGAACGGTGGTGTGAGGTGGAGCATTGAGATGTGTGAGAGGGAAAAGGTCGTGGGCATAGTTGGTCAAATAAGACCAGAAACACTGCATTATTTCCATATTTGAACCTGTTGTGACTCGACAATAATAAAGCAGATTTCTTCATTTTGTGCAAAACATGAGATCTTAAACAGAGAGATAGTAAAGAGGGGTCACAAATTGCAGGTTTGCAGATGTCTCTTTTGTTAGTTCAAAGTCAGAATATCATAGTTGATTGCAACTTCTCCTGACCTTCAATTGTTCTGTCTTTATCGAGCCTTGCTATTCAATTGCTTGATAGGCTCATGTTGGAATATGACTTTTTCAGCTAAACATGGCTACTAGAGTACATGCTTGGTTCCCTTGACTCCCTTAAAGAGACACCAAGGCTTTCCGGAACGAAGATTACTCTATATTTTTTTGCTGCCTATATGATTTTCCTTGAAGTTATTATTTTACTGTGCTTTTATTATGACGACAGTATATTTTGAAGAACTAAATGAGGTAGAAATGGGGAAGGCGGGAGGGGCTAAAGCCTGGGGGCAATAGAGGATATGAGAGAGAAGGAATGAGTGGTTGAGTTCGGGGCAGCATGTTGGCATCATCCTGGTGGAGAAATTGGACAGCATAATGGCCATAGAAGAGGCTTAACTAATAAAGTAATAGGTAATATGCGCCAGGTCCATTCACTTTGTAAAATATGCTGCTCACTTTGTGATTATCAGTTTGTTTTCTTGATAAAAGACTTATGATTGAATTTATTCTTTTAAAATTTTATTTAAAAAAATTCACGGTCACTTGACCACATTGACACTTGGGCTGTTATGTTCTTCTTCCTTCGGCTTAAAAATTATCCCATTAGGCCATGAGATGGTTTCTATATAACTTCTTTGTTTGTGATTCTCGGGTAATCTTTATTCTTTTAGCAGTTTTCTTCTACTGGAATATTAAATTTGAGAGTATAAGAACTTGCATCTTTAGCAAGTGAGGAACTCAAGGCTGGCTTGCAGAAGGTTCGTTCACAAATGGCTGGTCTGGAGATAAACATGCTGATGGAAGTGGAAAGTTTCTTCCATCCTTTTGTCTTAAGCATCTCAGCTATTTGCAAATACCTCATGTTTTGAGCATATATGTTTTTATATTTGTACATTCTTTATTTGGCCTCTTTAATTGTGTTGCAGTTTCTCCAACTCAGACCTATAAGTTGATTATCAATTCATTTTGCGTCTTTTCTTTTTTTAGTCATACGTGAGAAAGTTAAAGTTGAGGACTACTTTGTAAAGATCATAGCTGTAATTTGGACGGTCGAGTCATGTTTTTCTACCACACCCTTTGTTTTAAAGGTCATAACTGACACAAAGTTTTTATGTTTTTGTTGTATATCTGATTATGAATCATAAAGGACAAAAAATGACCCTTATTATGCAATATATTAATATGCAATTTTTGGTTAAAGTCATATTAACGTGTGTAGATATAAAATGGTATCATAAAGTTTATTGATGGTAGAAGAAATTTGGACAGATTTTATATTTTAATATTATAATTTTTTTATTAGAAATATAATAACATGAGGAGAATTTTGGCTATCTACAAGTCATCCTACCAACTACCAAGTGAGAATTTCATCAGGATTTATGTAGATGTAAACATTCCATGTTTTTTAATTTACTTTATTTTGAGAAACCCGAGATATTTTGTTTGCTCTCTAGATATTATTATAATCATAATCATATATAATTTATATAGGGACAATTTTAGAAATTAGTTATAATTAATAATAAATATTTAATAATCAGATAAGTACTGAAAGTCATACACCAAACGACTAAATCTGCTTTTAATTAGTTTCAGATATTTTCATCTTTACTTATGGTATTCA